TAGAGTGCAAAGAAATAAGTAAAAACAAATTTCTGAGTATCGAACACATTTTTATCCTACTTTTCCACCCTCAGTGCAGATTATTACAAGTCTCTTCAAGCCCCTTATAATTCTCTGTCTTTGTTTTCTTTCATTCACTCATGTAAATGAATCCAACCAAATATTCTCTTGCAAGTTGCTGCAATAAGCAAAGAGGTTGTCTTTTGAGTTGGGACAATGAAGAAGCTTCTAGATCTGCTGGAAGCTGGTTGGAAAGCAATGGAGGTAGCCAGCCCCTGCACCAACCTGCTGATTGTCAACATAGGCTCCCTTGTTCACAGGTGCCAGATTGTGACCCACCCCAAGGAGAGAGGAATTGTGAACATTAGCACAGTTGAGCTCTGTGGGGGTCTCTCCCTGTGTCACAATTACAAAAACACCCTAAGGACTGAGTGGAAAGAAACCAGACTGTTTTATAGAGTAGGATCCTGTCATTGTAATTATTCAGAATTTGGAGCTACTGACCATCAGAATGAAAGAGACTTTAGGATCCTATAGCCCAAATGGCCCACTGTGAAGGAGGCTCAGGAACACTTTGTTTCCCTTGAGGTTTGTTTTCATAGTTGGAAACAGAGAGAGGGAAAATGTAAATCATTAATGACTCAAAAATTACACATCCCCATTTTCTAAGATTTCCCTGAGATGGAGGTGAGATGAAGCAGAGGACAATGTCCAGACAAATCAGTGGACTTTCCCCCTTTCTTTCCTTTTTTTCCAGTGGGGTGAATTCTTTCATTTAGCAAAAAATTGGGAGAAAACATGTTTGTTCCCCCTCCCCAAGAAAAGGAAATTCTTGTACTGCTGTTTAAAAATAAAAAAAAAAATTAGAACAAGTTTTGGTTTCTTGCACTCTAGTACTTACAACAGAATGTTTCTAAAATACACTGTATAGAATTAAGTTCCTAGGAGAGTGTTCTAAGGGCTCCTTAAATATTTGGGGTTTCATTTGTAAATTGTCTTTTAAATTAATAATAAAAAAATACGGTCATACTAAAAATTGCTACATGGCTAATAATTGGCATGATTGAGACTGCCTATTAATTTACAGTGCTGCCAAATTGATCCGTTTAAACACATACCAAGAAGGAACGCTTGCCCTGTGCCCTGCCATTTTGGTACAACAGAATGTTTTTCAGTGACTTTAGCAGATTTAATAGTGGAACACTCTGTTTTATCATCCACATGCTAATGTCTCTGTTTATCTCCAGGAATGCTTTTGTTTTGTAAGCCAGTGCAGAGGGAGGTTGGGGCTAAAGGAAGGGAGGAGTGAACTGACATTTCTTCTCAGAGAGTCCTTTGTGAAGGTTTCTCACCCCCACACAAACAGTAGGCCAGGGGCCAGAGGTGATGGCATTATTCAGTTGGATTGTGAAAGACTGGGCAGAAAGGTGATAGTTCAGGAACCCAGGTTATGAAACCCTTGTTGGTACAGAGAGGAAGGCTTTGCTCAGTTCTTTGCAGACCCCACTATAGATTCCTCTACAGAACCTGGCTCTGGGTCTGGCACCCTCTCACCTGCCAAGGCGTGGATGATTGGAGAACAGTGGCTTGTTGGGTGGGCACCAGCATTCTCTAAAAGAACGAAAAAATGGACCAAGTCAAGTTCCTCCCAGGAGCTTCTACAACCCTTTTGCAGCAAGACGAGGGCAGATTTCCTGTGATGACAGCAGTGCTGAGACTAGTGTATGTTGGGGCAGGCACTTGAGACAAGTCACTGTGGAAAATTCCAGAAATAACTGGATGCTGAAGTCTTGGTACAGTGTAGATGGAGGTTATCAAGGTATAGATATTTGGATTAAAGCTACTTAAAGATACTATCCTAGGATTTGGAGAGGAACATGAAAAAGTTGTTATCATTTGGTCACTGCTTATTGTTTTGAATCAGAAGTATTTTGGTACTATAATAAATGAAAACAAGATGGAAAAATGAATGAGAAGTGATGGCTACTCCATTTTGGACAAATGTATATGTGTTCATCTAAAAGCCTTGCTCTCATTGAATTTAAAATTAAGTGGTTTATTGGACTGGGGCTATAGCTCCGTAGCAGAGCCCTTGTCTAGCACATGAATGGCACTGGGTTCAATCCTCAACAGCACCATGTAAAATAAATAAAATTATTAAAAAAAAAATTAAATGGTATACACTTGAACTCATAAAATTGAAAATTGTCAATAGAATGAATGAAAATAAATGATCATTTAAGTACATACCACATTTCACTTAATGAAACATTTTTTTTTAAGTTTCTAAAATATGCAAAACTGTAGACAATAGGACCAGAAAAGGCAGGGAAGTGCAGCTTTTACTCTTTTCTACTTTAGGATTGTGATTTTGGCTGAGGCCCCCTTAATAGGTGCTGATTCTGTTAAATAGCACAGCTAATGAATGCAATGGAAAAAACTAGCAAACAAATAGCAAAGCGGGTCTAACATGAGCATGCATCACTGACTTCCAGGAGTGAGGAGGTAGAAGAACACACACAGGCAGGAAAGAGGCACAGAAGGGAAGAGAGACCTCAAATAATCGATTGAAAACATAACTAAAGGTTAGCAGTTCCGCTGCCATTCTTACTCTGTTTCTGAAAACAGAAAGATTAAACAGATTGATTTGCGCTGATATGCTTTGAAATGCCATAAAGGACACCTCTTCTGGCTCAGTATTGATAAACTGCCTGAGTGTATCACTGGCATTTTAGTTTTCCTAGTCCAGCAAGAGGAGGCAGAGAACACATTTCCACCTTCCCCTTCACCCGCCCTGGGAATTGCTTAAACAATTTCTGTGAGTGTGCCCAGGCAGTTCACACCATTAAATGCCCTGTTAAAGGATTCCTTCTCTGGGGTGCCTGTGAATTCCCTTGTCAGATGAATGGGAGACATGGCCTGTGACCAGCTGAACTTCATTATATGATTTATTGCCATAAACTCTTGATAAGTGGCATATTGGGACTTGGGGTCCCGAGCAACTACCTAGAAATGCCTTATGCCCACACCCCACTTTCTTGGTAGGGGATTTATAGGCGCATTCAGCAAAATTGTACTGAAGTGAAGCAGCAACATCCTTCTGACTATTCAAACAAACAGCCACCCTGCTGGCGCTGATCAGTGTTCCTGGGATGGCTGTGATTGAAATTTAGCACTTAGAGTGACTTAATTGGCACGCAAATCTGTTAAGCATATGAACCCCCCCACACACAGGCGTGCCATCTGATGTGTCCATAGGGTGCCCTGCACCTCACGTATGCTCACATTTTGCAAAAGAAGCAAGTTCCTAGAAGGAAGCCTGTGCTGTGGGTAAGGAGTAGGGTGGTCCTAGAGGACAGGTCTGCAGGGATCTCTGTCCTCTTTGGATTACCATAGTTCTTCATTTCCTTGAGCTCAGAACAAATCTAAGGTCATGGAGTTCCAGTTTGCTTGCTGTGAAAAAGAGTGTTAAGAATCTGCTCACTGATGCTCCTGTGCATCAAGCGCTGTGGCAGCAGAGTGGAACTTGCAAGGATTCAGCACTCTTGGGCAGCTTGCTGCCTCAGAACTCAAGGTTAGAATGCTCATGGTGGCTATAACTGATCTCTTGGCCTTCAGAGGGAATCTGGAAATCGATGTCAACATTTTTCTGCTGAGTTGGGAACAGAAGGACTGGGCCAAAAGTTCTAGGTTATGAGTTCCTGGAGGGAAATAGGAAGCTCAAGGAAAACCACATAGACCCAGCGTGTTCTTGTCTTTCATCACATTGAGCAGGATGGGCTAGTCGGTGGTCAGGAGCAGGCTGCTGTGTTCAGTCTCCCCAAGTGTCCTGGGCCTCCTTGTATTTAACCAGGTGGACTCTGATCATTGCTGCAGGCACCAAAAGAAGCCACCTTCTCAAGCTGCCATGATGGCCATGACTTTGATTGGTACTGAGAAGGGTTGGTGAACTGTCCACCAAGTCCCCTATTCCCAGATGAGCATGTCCTGTCCTAATTGGGTCACACACACTCAGGCCTCATTGTATTTCTTTGGCATCAGGAAAAATCTGGGCTCAATAAATATTTCGTCAATTTTGAAGGGATAGATTAAATAGTTTCACTTCATTTGAGTGAGGTCAAAAATAAAGGTGAGTTAAAACAAAATCAGAGGATGATCTGCAGTAAACCTAAGGAAGCTTAGGTTCTGGTGACTCTCAGTTTCTCAACTTCCTTCCCAAGACTTTTTGCTAAGTTTTGATTTTATATTCTTTTTCTCATGGAGGCTTGTCACCCACAAATGCTATAAGTCTCACGATCACATAAAACTTAGACTTGCTCCAGTTAAAATGCTGCTGAATGGCCCTTCTGTAATATTTAGTTCCTTGTATCCAATGGTTTTCTCCAAAATTGGGAAGTTAGAAGAAATAAAGTCAAACTCACAAAGAAAGAGAAAGGTAAAGAACTAATATTTCAGAACTCCATGTATATTTATATGTAATTTGCCTTTATTACCTAATTTAACTTTTTATAGTAACCTTTTATGGGAGATAATATTACCTTCCGCCTGGGTAAATAGGTGGGGACATCCAGGTTCAGAGAAGTAAAACAACATTTCTAGGTAGCCCAGCTAAGAAGCCTATGAACTGCCTTATTGATTTTCTTTACTCCCAACCATCTGCTCAGAGGTTACCTTGTGGGGTGTATATTTGACAGATTCTCCAGCCTTTCCCAAAGAAAGTGTTCAATCCACCAGGGTAAGAAATGCCAAAAATGCTTGGAGTGGCAGAGTGACTTGCTGCAGAGTAACAGGGAGAAAGGTGGGGAGGGGATCTGGCCTCAACTCTTAGGAAAGTACAAGGTGAGCTAACCTTTCCCCAGTGAGTGTGGCAAATGCTGTAACAATTCATGCAATTTTGTTAAGCACCCATTAAAGGAATCCTAAGCCTTCCCTTGGGCCATTTCAATTCTAAGAAATTGTAATTATTTGAGACTAATCATGATTTCCTCTTTTGCCTTCAGGTGATTCTCATTTTGACAAAGCTCTATGACTATAACCTGGGGAGCATCACAGAGAGCTCACTTTGGAGGTACGTAGATTAATCCAGCCAATAATTACTGTTATTTAAGCATGATGCTGGCTATTGCTGTCTCTCACTCTCAACTACTGTTTTCTAGTGGGAAGATTCCTGGTTCTATGCATTCCTGCTTCCTGTCTTCTTTCTCTGTTGTCCTTAGCAATGGGTTGCCCTTTGTCTCCAGGCAAGCCAGAGAATTACCTTCTCCACAGACCTCCTCTCTTGTTCCAGCATATATTTTTGTTATGCTCTTCTTTAGGTTGTGTTTATGTACTCGGCTTCCATCGTCCTTACTTATCTTAGCACTTATGGAACAAAGGGGGGAGAGAGGTGTCTTTGCAAAAGGGAGCAGCACAACCTCTGTGTGCGGAAGCCAAACTCCCTACCTGTGAGGTGCTTTCGCAGCTTGCCTTCCATGGTCCTGCAGCTCACTAGCAGTGTGCAGGTGTGCGCGCGCACACACACACACACACATCCCTCCTTACATCTGGGACTCACACTCTATAGCCTCTCACATATACACGTAAATAATACTGTTGCCAATGGCCGGGCACAAATACTTTAGGGACAGATTAACTCAGTTACTTGTTGACTATGAGGACAATTTTGTAGTAGGGCTATTGAGGGTCTGAAACTAGAAACAGAAGATGCCTTCAAAAGCAAATACATTTTATTTGTTTCTTAAACAAAACAAAACAAAAACCTAAGCATTTCTCACTCCTGATTGGCTCTTCCTGCCGTCCTGTGCCAGGTGCCCACATCTTAACCCATCTTGGGAGACAAAGAGTGCTGCTTCATATCGGTTAGTCCTGGAACACCTGATATATCTTAGAGTCAAGGGTAGGATGATGATAACCTTAGGGATAATCTTCAGTGATGTCTCTGAAACTGGGGACAGTTTTGCAGGAGCCTCAATAAAAGTGTGATTCTTCAGTGTATTAAGCACCCAGCACCTACCATATGGTTCATATTCAGTAAGTCTTGATCAGAATCTTTGCAACTCAGCAAGCTTGTGCTTCCTTGATTGGTTTCCCTAATGTATGTACATATGTAAGAATAAAAGCCATCTTTTTTCAACAGCGCATCCGCCCGATATAGTGTAGTTTGATAAGCAGTTAAAAGATGAGCAGTTTTGATTCACGAGAACAGAAGTTTTAGCAGCCGTAACTCTAGCCGTGCAGTGGGAAGGGCACTCAGAGGGGCCTGAGGAGCAGGTTGTCCTAGACCATGGCGCTCAGGTTCAGTGTGCTTCTTTCTCTCTAATGAGGCACAGGAAGAACGTATTTTCCAATTTTTGGTGAGAGGGTGAAGGATAAAAAAAAAAAAAAAAACACACACACACACCACAGTCCAGTACTAGTAAGTGTCCCATCTGAGAGAGCAACCTCAGGGGCCGAAGCTTGGGAAGGTATGGCAAGAATGGCCTGTGGGTATTTCCATCTGTATAAATTATATATATATATATAAAATACCTGAAAATATTTAATGTTTTTCTTTGATACCCATAATTGTTATTGGCTGTGCATGTCATATATTGGAAATAGCTACTGTGGATGCTCTGTGCTATTAGCATCTGGACATTTTGTTACTTTAATAGGAAGAGAACACACTGAAGAGGTCATTTAGAAAAGAAAAGAGAGAATTAAAAAAAAAAAAACATGTTTAATACTTCACCCAGGCTTTGGAAGGACTCACACTTTTGAGCAGCTCACGATACCCATATCAGTGATTAGGGAACCTTGAAGGAGGTGTTAATTCAGTGGAAAAGTGCAGTAATGCTGGGTGGATGGAGGATGAAGATCAGGAAGACAGAGCCCCAGGTTCTGAGTTTAGTTAAGCCATGCCTGAGAGAAACTAGATAACCAAGTGTGGAAAAGTTTTCTCTTGCAACAGTTCTTTCTTTCTATGTAGAAATCTAGCCTATGCAAAAATTTGAAGCCATGTGCCCACCCCAGAGCAGGTTTTACACATCCTTGGGGCACCCATGACACTGAGCACAGGACCTACCATATAGATGATGCTCAGTTTGTTTCTGAGCTGACTGGTAAACACAAAAATTTTATCTCTATCATGTGATCATCCATTTATAATTTCCATATTTCATCCATTTATTCAACAAAAATGTATTGATTGACTCCTTTATTGCATTGGATTATTCTGGTAGAGGGAGGGGGAGGTGAGTGTGTCCATGAATTACTAGCACAGGGGCTCTTTCTTCTAAGGTTCATTTCTGGAGGGGGACAGAAATCTGCAGACACTTAAGGTGAGAGAGAAATACACTTGCGTGTAACCCCTCTTATGTAGTTCTACTGAATAAGGGACTTAAGCACCACCCAGAAGTGCCAGATCCCAGAATAAGATCATTCTAACACAAATAGACAAGTTGTCACACAACCATAAGTGCTGGAATAAAGAGGAGAACTAGTGTCACTTTTTATCTTTGCTTGTGTGCATATTTTCTCCTTTCAACCAGCCTTTAAGTCCTTAACCCAGCACCTTGCTGGTTTAATCAAAGTAGTGATGATGCTGATGATAATCGTAATAGTGACAACAATTAGAAATAAAGAAAATTTATTGAGTGTTCACTATGTTTCAGGCATTGTGTTTAGCGATAGACATGTGTTATTACAACTTCTTAATTAATTTTTAGGGTGTGCCCAAGGTCACATAATTAACAAGTAGCAGCCCATAAACCTGCCAACAGACATGTTAGGAAATTTCATACATTCATTGCTTGGCTTCTGGTTGATCTTTCTCTACCAACCCCTCCCAATGTGTGTGTGTGTGTGTGTGTATCATATATATATATATGTATGTATATGTCTATATATGTATATATACACATATACAAACACAGACACATGTACATGTACATATATAGAGACTGTAGTATTCTGATCAGCATTTTCCCTACTACTGAAAAATACTGAGAAATAGCTTCTAATCTAAAAGGTAGATACAAGCACTTTTTAATTGAAGCCTATTTTTTGAAAATTTTTGTCAGCTGAATAGTCAAAAGCAAGCAAGTGACAAACGCCCTTGGGGTGTTAGCATAGTCCAGAGGCCAAGAGACATTTGACCTGGGTTCTCATGACCTGGGGCTTTAAACCTCTCTGGATCTAAAACCCAGGGATGCCAGGCCCAGATGACTCTGCAGCAAATTAATGAGCTTTTGCTCCCAGCTGGTCTTGTCTTTGATGACACCTTAATCCTGGAGCCAGCGGTGGACTTTGTTTTGCATTGTGGAGTCAAGCTGGGAGGAGAGGTGGGATCCCTTTCAGAACAATTAACTGCACCTCAAAACCAACTCCACTATAGGGTGGATTAAGCCTTGAGATTTGTGGAGCACTGCGGTGTTACCATTCTGAAGCAAGATAAGCTTAAAGGTTGAGATAAATAAAATGTCAAAATCTAGATACTGTATCTCTGAGAAGAAATAGATTCATCTTCTCTCCCTCTTGTACTCAGGTAATCAGCTGCTGAGAGAGGTTTAGCTGGTGAGAAAGCCCTAGGGAACTCTGGGGAGCTGAATGCTCACTCTCTTAAAGGCGCACACACCCACCAGCCTGTCTGAGACATTGACTACTGTGGCTGACCTGTCAAATTCAGTGTCCCATTCTCAGATTCACACAAAATACAAGCAAGGTTCCCACTGGATCTCAAAAACTCTGCACGTCTCAAGCAGCAAAATCTGCTTTGCTGACACAAAGGAACATATGGTTAGAGTAGAGAATGGGTTAGGCTTTTTCAATGATTCTGCACTGGTTGCCAGCCCTGTTTTCCATATTCCCAGGAGACACATAGTGATTATCCAGAGAAGTTCCCTAGTGGTGTGTGAGGAGACAATGCCCCATGCCACAGGGTGCTCCAGGCAGCAGGACAGTCTGCATCGTTCAGGGAGCTTCTGGGGCTCAGGCTGAAGCAAGCTGATCTGAAGAGCGTGAACTTTCCCAGCCTGATGCCCATTACCTGGAAGCCTCTTCTGGAAGCCTCTTTTCTCTTCCTTCTTTATGTCTCAGGGAAGAGCCACCGTCTGCCTGGATCAGATTGTCCGTGCCAGCAGTGAAGAATGTTTTTCTCAAAATTGGGTTTTCATTCAGCTGTAAACACAAGGCTGTTGGACAGAAATACACACCCTGAAAATGATGTGCGTGATAATTTCCCTGCAAGAGCACTCTTCGTGTTACAGGAACCCAATGGCACTGTGCATATCCATGATTGCAAACATTTGGCACCTCCCCCAGGTGGGCAGGAGACAGCCAAGCTCCACACAAGGTCAGGAGCCACTTGCCTTGTGTTCCTTTGCATTCTGGATTCTACTGAATTTTTGTAACTCCCACTCCTATCCGTTTTCTGTGTCACGTGGACCTGCTTTCGGTTTCTGGACTTAAATATACATTTATTTTATTAAACATTATTGTTTTTTTAACACAAAAATAACTCATTATAATGTCAAAAAATGCTAAGATGGATAAAACCAGTGTTAGTAGTTTCTTACTTCCCACCCAGATCCAGCTTTCCTGAGGTCAGTGGTATTAATATTTAAGGGTGATTCTGTTCATATCTTTAGAGCTGAAGTAAAAAATGCCAATAGATATATACATAGTATGGCGCTGAGTTTTTGTGTATGTGTTTGTGTAACAAAATAGGAATATACTATTCACTGGTCTCTGACAACCTGCTTTATTTCATTTACAGTGAGTCCTGGCTATTTGTCCAAGTGAAAATATTTTTAAAAATTGGGTTAGGGTGATAAGGGCCCCATAGGGTGGAATTGCATGTGGAGTTAAACCACTGCATGCCTGATTAGCCTTATGCAATGCTTCTTATGTGCTAGGAAGTATTCTCAGTTTTTAAAAAAATTTATTCCAACAACCCTATAAAATGGGCCTTATTAGTATTTCCAGTTTCCAGATGAGAAAAATAAGGCTTAGAACTATTAGACAACCTGCTCAGTGATCATGCAGCCAGGTAAACAGCAGAACTTGGCTCCTGACTTCCTTTTTCTTCAC